AGGAAAATGTGCTGAACCTCCCAAGCAGAAATTCCTTGAGCAAAGAAACTTCCTGAAGAGGCTGAACGAGCGATGGGCTGACGCACCCCCACTCCCCCAGCTGCAATCTGAGTGCTGGAAAAACCACCCCAAACCTTCCATCTCCTTAATTTCGGGGGGGTTTGAAACACATCATCTTCTCTCCAGCCCCAGACATCAGTAATCCCTGAGGCAATGATTTAATCTGTGTGCCCAGGCCCCACTCAGTGCTTGTTTGTTCAGCCAAGGAGAGGCCGAGAGTTTGGCGGCTCTCTGAAAATGTTTTCCTTATTAATTGTTCTTGGAAGAATTACTTCATTGATCATTTAATCTCCAAAAAGAAAACGAACATACTTCAGGGCAATAAGAGGCTACAACAGTAAAGAATTTGAGCTGCAATTATAATTTGTTTCTTAGCAACTAATAGCAAAAATTATGGGATTTGCTCGGGTGCAAGATATAACAGGAACCATTCCAGCAATGGGAATATTGAAAAAAAAATCCCTTTCAGTATAATGTGGGGAGTAATTTTCTTCTTTTCTACCATCACAGTGAAATTATTTTGGGATGGTAGGTCAAAGCCCCAAAGTATTCTCATTACAACTGCATTATGACTGTGTTTGCTGCTGCACAGAGCTGAGTCCTAGCTGCTAATTCATGCAGAACAATTATTTCTTTGCAGAAACCCTTCTATAAAACAAATCCCTCTAATAAAGTGTGGGGGGGAAACAGTTTTGAGGAACAAGAGTGTGATTCCCTGCAGATGTAACAAAGAAGAAAAGTTTTGATGAATGAATAATTCAAGGGAAAAGGTACAAAAGGGAAGTCTGAGGCTGCTGCCCTGGTTGGGGGTGGAAATAAGCCCACTTCCAAACCCTGCCCCTTCAGGCACTGCTTCATCTTCAAACACAGTAAACCAGCCTGAATTTCACACACAGAATCAGCTGTTTGGCTGGACTAGGGCTGTCTGGAGGGGGAGGAGGAGGAGAAGGAGGAGGAGGAGAGTGGGAGGAAGGACACCAAGCGTCCTCTTGGTGTTGAGGTGCCACAATGTCCAAAATTTTCTTTCTGAAAAGCAGGTCTCATTTCTCTACCAGCTCCCATTTCACAGACATCACTTTAACACACTTTTTCTAACAACAGGGGGCAAAACAATCGTGTGACTGTAAAACTGCACCCAGTTGAACTTGAGTTTGCTCTTTGGATATTCAAAATCAGCAGCACGTGACAAACATCAGGAGTGATGAGAGAGGGAGAGGCAGCTACTCACCCACTCTCCAGGGGGTTTATTTTTAAGCCACTATTATTGCAGGTAGCACTGTCTTTGTGTACTCTCAGGTTCAACTGCAAATCCTGCTGAGGAGTTTTGGCCCAAATTGAGTGTAGTTATCACAGCAGGGCAAGGATATTTCATCTACCAGCACTGGGGATGGCAGGACTGGAGAAGATGGGGGTCATCTGCTGGGAGAGTGGAGTGGAGCCTTGGCCCCATCCCTGGGAGGTGGGGATGGAGCAGACACACTCTGGAGACCCCTGGGGTAGGGGGTGCAGGGGTGTCCAGGCTGACCCTCTGCACTGCTCCTGGAGATGTCAGGTCTCAGAGCTTTGGGGTAAAGAAACAAATCGTGGCCTCAGCAAGGTAAAATAAACACCAGAGTTATCCTCTTATTAATATTATTCTATAGATGTTCATAAATCAGCTGAAAGGTAAGACAGTAATGGCCATTCTCTTTCCTGGGGGAAGTCCTGGCTCACTTATCCCACCACACCACTGTGATCAGAAAAGATCTGGACATCACAGAGAACTACAAACAGAAGGGAAAATCTCACCTAGTCCCATTTCCTCTGAACCCCCCTCCACCACTGCTGCTCATTCAAAACATGAAATTCAATCTTAATATATAATCCCCCAAATACACACTCCTGAGAAGAAAATGTGTGGGGCAGGCTGGTGAGCTTCTCTCAGGAAGGGCCCTGATGCCACCTCACACTGGGACCAGAGAAGCTCTTGAAGCTTCTCCCAGGACTCCACTTTGTGATTTCATGTCTATGGGATCCAAGAATCATTTCAGTTGGAATAGACCTTCAAGATCAAGCCTGTTAACTGCCAAGTCACCACCAACCTCATGTCCTTAAGTGCCACATCTACAAATCTTTTAAATGCCCAGAGGGGTGGGGACTCCACCACTGCCCTGGGCAGCCTGGCACAGCCCTGGACAACCCTTTTGGGGAAGAAATTGTTCCTCATGTCCAACCTAAACCTCCCCTGGTGCAACTTGAGGCTGTTTCCCCTTGTCCTGTCACTCTGCTCTGCTTTCCAGGCTAACTCCTTATTGATTTCAGTGCTCTCCCCAAAGTATTGTCCAGTGAACAGAATTGTCAAGCAAATCCCCATCCCCCAAAACAAAAAGCCCATCATTTAATCTAGTTCTGCTTTGTTCTCAGTGCTCTTCCCAAACTATTGTCCAGTGAATAGAATTGTCAAGCAAAGCCCCATCCCTCAAAACAAGAAGACCATCATTTAATCTAGTTCTGCTTTGTTTTTGTGTATCCTTTTGGAAAAGCCACTATTAGAATGCACACTCAGAGTTTAAAGCTTTTTTTTTGGTATTATTATTATTTTCTGGAAGCCTGCACTGCTATCAACACAGGGTTTAGAGTATCATTAATCCATATCCTGTTCCTGTGGCACAGCATATTCCTTAACTCTCCAAAAATATGTTCAATTTCAGAGACAATTAGCACTGAGGGGAAATAAAAAAAAAATTTGGAAAAACCACTATTAGAATGCACACTCTAAAGCTTTTTTTTGGTATTATTATTATTTTCTGGAAGCCTGCACTGCTATCAACACAGGGTTTAGAGTATCATTAATCCATATCCTGTTCCTGTGGCACAGCATATTCCTTAACTCTCCAAAAATATGTTCAATTTCAGAGACAATTAGCACTGAGGGGAAATAAAAAAAAAAAAAATAGAGGACAAATTTGAAATGTAAATGATCTATCACAAAGCAAGTATTGGGGGAAAATATTAGCACTTTCATCCTAATGAGTTTGTAACCTAAATACATATTTCAAGGATTAAATTGCTGACCCTCTCTGACCTCCACAGGAGGTTGAATAGCTAGATTGCAGTTTAATCTTCAGTGAAAATGTGAGAGAAGAATAACACAGCTCTTGAAGAATGAAGAGATATTAATGATGCCCCAGGATTCAGAGTTTAACCCTTAAGAGGAGGGAAAAAATAAAGCTCAGACCCCCAGCCCTGAGTCTCAAAAGATTCAGCACCAACTTTCCTGAGAAATAAAAATGAGATAAAACAAGAATTGTACAACACACAGTTAGGAGGGAAAAGAAGTGATTGCTGAGATGAAGAGGGAAGGAATATGGCCCTGAGTCTCCAGCAAAAACTTCTTTCCATAGCTAAATCAGAATAATTGATGGAAGTGGGGGGTAAGAGACCAAGCTGAAGTGTCAAAGACCACATGTGTAACCTAGGTGCCTGATAAGGGTGTGAATTCAAGGAAAATAACTTGATAAAAGGGAAAATTCCTAAGAGAGCAACGGGTTTGAGAGCTCCCCAGGGTCTAGAATCAATTATGCTGTTTTAGCAACCTAAAAGAAATTCTAGGAACCACCAATAATATATTTATTCACGTCTCCAGAATTACTTTAGCTGCAAAAGAACAAGTTTTGGTTTTGAATTCAATCTTCTTAACTGAGAAGCAGTCAAACCAAATTTGTATTTGGTCGACTAGAAAGATTTTTGCCAGGTATTTTATTCATTGAGATAGATAAATTAATCAGAATATTATACTCTGTACCTGAAACAAAGGTGAAATGTTAAGGTTTGCTTATTTTTGTGCAGAATTCTCTGTGTTTGCAAGCTCTTGGTTAATAAGCACCTCACAATTCAAACAAGGAATTTGATGTATTTCCACCCAAACACTCTGTGGCTACTGTCCTCAGCAAATGGGTAATTTATTGTAAGCTATGTGGGGAGGCAGAGGACTTGAGGTTACTCACAGTAACATCCCTCATCCCCCATCACCTCTCTATATTGTGTGAACTTGGTGTTTATTGGCATTTTTACCTTTCCATTTTTATAGCTGGGGCACATCAGCTTCTCATCCCAGTCAGTCAAAAGCATCTTTGAGCTCTCCTGGCAGCCCAGCTCACCACTACTGATGGTTTCATGCCTGGGAAGGGACTGCCTTGGCCTCCTGCACGTGTGTGCAAGGCAGGACACCTCAGAACAGCTCCTGCTGCAACTACTGAGCTGCTCTGTGCACCCCTCCCAGGACGACAGCACGGAGAACTCACAGGGATGATGGATGGATAAGTCCCTGGATCTATTCTCTGCCTTCACCTTCACAACTGCACGAGCAAAAAGGTGATTCATGGCCCTGGGTTATCATTTGCCCACTCTTACAGACTTTATCCTGTACCTCAGAACAGCTTTACATAATTTTCTGTAATGCTATTTCACATCAGGACCTCTGTCTACGTTACCCTTAGCTTCCAATTTGAAGCTGCAACTCTGATTTTAACCCTAAATAAATATGAAATAGCTGCTTTTCCCTATTAAAAACAGTTACATGTATCAGCCATACCTGAAAGTGCTTGCACTGAAACACAGGACTTAGGAATACTGTCACTGTGAATTCATCCCTTACAAAGATTATGCTCCTCCAAATATTTTGAACCTTGAATTCTCCAAGGAAAGGAAAAAATCAACGGTGAGATCCCACGTGCCAGAGATTGTTAGCTGGCCTCTTTCTCTAGGAATTACACATTTTACCCCATTTACAAGGAATTTTAGGTAAATAATCATAAACCAAGGCATGGATTCATCTCTATTTCCCCTCTAAACACATTTCTTCTATGTCACGAGCAGCTCAGAGGGTACCACGTAAGGCATGAGAAAAGGGTTAGGAAAGCAGACGTGGGTCTCTACTCTCCCAGCCATGTTGTACTCACAAGCAAACTGAAGCTTTGCCTCTCTGCTGACGATTGTTCCAAAGGGGTTTGTTGCTACACACTGGTATGTTCCAGTATCTTGGGTTTTATTGGGGTTATTGATCAGCAGGTTGCCTTCCAGCAGGCTGTAGCGGTAATCCATACCCACGTCGATACTGCTGCCATTGAACTTCCACCTAGAGCACCACATGCCAAAGTTAAATGCTGCTAATATTAATGGAGACTCTTGGGTGTTTGGAAATAGAACAGGAAGTAAATCAAGATTTAAAACGTCTTTGACTTTTTTTTTAAAAAAAAAAAGCAACATGAAAATGCAAATCTCCTGTGCAGTATTAAAATAGTCCAGTGTTTAACTGGAAGAGCAATATCCTTGACATAAATTTCAGTCTCTGGTATGATTAATGCTTCTGGAGTTGCTGCTGCTCCTTGGAATTAATCATTTTGCAAGGGGAAGCCCCAGAAACAGAAGCTTTAAACCATTCAAGTCCACAGAGGCTTTTTTTCCCCCCCCCATCTCAACTCGCTGGCTGTTTATTTTCAACTTTAAGGAAATTCTCTCCCAGCAGGTGCTGTCACAAACTGGGGCGCTGAGAAATTCCAGCACCACATCACCCCAGCTACAGCAACCCCCATGGCCACCAGCCCCCCCTGGAGCCACAGCCAAGGGGCCACTAATTACAGAGAAACAACCTGAATATGTTTGCACCAGTGACTCAGAGCTGATTGCATTAAACAGGGGTCTCCTCAGAAGACAGCACGGTGGCCGAGGTCTGACAGCTCTAATGGGTTTCAGAGCAGCATTCACAAAATGAGAAAGGCACTAAAGGAAAAAAAACCAGCAGCCCAAATGATTTACAGCAGCATCCCCATAGTAGTATTGCATTTTTTTAACTAAGGAGCCCAAAGCAGTTGTTAAATGTGAAATCAGTTCTGAGCCTTGAGCACGTTTATAGAAAGGGTGGCTAATATGGGAGCCCACACTAGTCACAATCCCTTCATTTTTGTGAACTCTTGGCCAAAATTTGCAACTGAGTTGCCACGTGTGGTGATTTCCCATTGCCTGGGCTTCTTGTTGTCAGCATTGTGGTAGATTCCACTGAGTTTTACAGGGTGACAGACCCAGGAGAAGGGCCCTTGGGAGATACTGCTGTAGTGCAGACATCATGCTAGAGAAAAGTTAAACATTCAACAAACCCAATGGTTGGTCTGGGGTTTCCTTGGACTTCACAGCTCAGCTTCACTTTCTTTTCCTCTGAATCCAAGGGGAAGATCATGCTGTTGGGCTCCTGAAGGAAAACTGGCCCATGCAGTGTGTTGTCATCTGCAGTAAACAGAGGGAAAACATGACAGGTATTGATGGGATCTCCATGCACCCAGTTATAATACAAAATAGTATCTTAGCAGCAAGAGGCCACGTATCATTCATCCTAGAAAACATGTGATAATGACTTGTTTTTAAACAGATTTTTTTTTTTTCCCAAAAGCCATTGAACCTCACGTGGAGCAAACATTGACAAAAATGTTTGTGCACCAAATAAAGCACAGACTGAAACTACCCAAAGTTGAAACAAATGGGAACAGGAACAATCCTACTGTCAAACTGGCTGTAAACATAGGTAGGAGAGTGAAAATATTTTGGCAAAACAACCTGACACAACCTTCAAAGAGTTCAGTAGCTGTTTCACAGCAATGCAACAGTCTGAGGCTGGACCCTTCTGTGCACTGACTTCTTTATTTCAAAAATATACACGTGGCTTTTGTGTTTTGAACTCCTTCACATCCTTCTGCTCCCCTCAAGCACTTTCAATTTTCATCTTACCAGTTTAGAGGGAAGATTTAGACTTCATATAAGAATGAAATTTTTGACACTGAAGGTGGTGAGCCCCTGGCCCAGGTTGCCCAGAGAGGTGGTCGCTGCCCCATCCCTGGAACCATCCCAGGGGAGGTTGGCTGGGGCTCTGAGCAACCTGCTCTACCTGCAGGGAGGTTGGACTGGGTGACCTTTAAAGGTCCCTTCCAACCAAAACCATTCAATAACTCTATGAATTTACCCTTTTTCAAACCTGTAACTAAGGAATTAACAGGAACAGACCCCAGGCACAGCTTTTCTCTGCCTGTCACTTTGCACTAGAGGACAGGACTTCCTGAGATATCCCAATATTGCTCAAAACACTCACAAAAAGTTAACAATATAAATTCACTGATCTCCATCCTGTTTGTATTAGTTTTATCTTCACAGTAACTGTTCAGAACATAAAGGAAACCAACTTTTCTCCCCTGGAAAGATCAGCTGTCTTTGCACTGAGACTTTTCTGCTTGTCAGTGTGGATGTTGAGCTGCCTCACCTGCCTACCTCAAAACACCCACAAAAAGTTAACAATATAAATTCACTGCTCTCCAACCTGTTGGTGTTAGTTTTCTTCATGGTAACTGTTCAGAACATAAAGGAAACCAACTTTTCTCCCCTGGAAAGATCAGCTGTCTTTGCACTGAGACTTTTCTGCTTGTCAGTGTGGATGTTGAGCTGCCTCCCCTGCCTAGAGTGCAAGTGAAGGACCCAGGGAAACTGCTCACAGTCAGCAAGTCCTTCAGCTGGAGGGCAGGCCTCTTGCTTTAACCTTTTTTTAACATTTTCCAGTCATGTCCTACCCTATCACCTTTACAGCAGGCATCTGCTCTTGCAGAGTACCAGCAAGGCAACTGTGAGGACCATGGGGGTGCTGGTGCTGGTACACATGGCTCCCTGGCTGCCAAGGGCAGGGACACCAAAAAGGACATCACTTAGAATCACAGAATATAATCATGGGAATTATTTTGGTTGGAAAAGTCTTGTAAGACTGTCAAGTTCAACTATTATTTTGGCCAGGTAGCCACCTGGTAGTAGTTTGGCAGTAGTCTGCTGCCAGAGGCCCATCTTGATGGACCTGCAGGAAATGTTTGGGTGCAGGAGGTCAGAGAAGAACAAATCAATAGAATATAAAGACAAACTGATCTACAAAATAGGCAGGGAAAAGCAATGAACAGAAGAGAATGCATCTTCCCAATGGGAGGAGGGGAAGAATGTATGCTACTAGCCCTCCTATCCCCCAACCCTGGGAAATCAGGTGGATTTATCAGGGACAGAACAATAGCCCTTTACTCCAGGGAGCAAATTCTGTCATCTCCACAGAAGGATTTCAGAGAGACTTTGCTAGGAAGCTTATAACAGAGCAACCTCTCCCCCGTGCCTCCTCCCCCAGGCACCACCACAAAAGAGAATGCACCAAGCACACAGTCTTATCAGCTGTATTTATCTTTAATTATATGTTAACGATATCTGACTGAGACTCATCTATTATTCAAAACACATTTCACATAATCTCCAGCTTTAAATTATACCTGTGTGCAACTTACTGTTGCTGGCAGAGAAAGATAATAATAACCACTGAGCATACAGGGCCAGAGTATGATATCCTGACTGGTTTCTGAGACCCTGGGCTGCTCCACTCCTTAAACAACCTGTAAGAAAGAATATTACAAGCTGGCCCACAAAGATTATAGCTCTGAGCACTGTATTAATGGGTTTGAAAACAAGAGAATTAAACCACATTTTATCTGGTTTGCTAATTGCAAAATAGAGAAGCTGGCCTGGTGCTCAGGTCCTAAGAGTTGCTTCAAGTTCCATCAGCAAGGAGTTGACTTGGGTGCACGTGGCATGGGCTGAGGCATCAGCCTCACAGCCCCTAAAGGTCTCAGGTCATTTGTTTTTAGTTCAATTAGCAGTGTGTCAATTTGTATCACATCACATCACTCTAAAGGTCAGATTCTTGGACTTCCTCCCATCAGAAGGAAATACACCTCGCATGAAAAAGTGGAGAGCTCACCTACTTGAGTTGGGGAACAGCCACATAAATAAATCTCAGGGTCCAAGTGTGTCCCCATATACCCAGGACGTCATCTGGCTGCAGGATCAGGGCTCAGATTTTTATGGGACAACGTCCTGGGCTGAGACACTGGTCTTCAAAGTGGAACAGGTCCATGTGATGCAACGGGGTGCTTGGGAGGGGGTTGGGTTTGTAAGAAGTGTCACAATCTGCCTAGGTAATTAGTAAGCAAAGTACAATGTAGAAAATGAACCAGACAAAAGGCAGAGAACTACAAAGGTAGAAGTAGTCACAGAGAAGTGAAAAGAATAAATAACTTAATTCGCCTGAACTAACACAGAAGCTCATGAAAGATGAAATGAAACCACCCTCCAGATTTTACACCTGCTGCTGACACTGTTAACATCCAGATTTACATGGCAAAACAAAACTGCTTGGCCTTCCTCTTAGCCAGCAAGAAGAAGAGCCCTGGTGTGACTGCTCCTTGGCCTTCAGGAGAACAGTGTTGGGCAAGGCTCCAAAAGCAGCTGCCAGTGTATCAGGGCAACAAGAGAGGAGGAAAAACCTTGCAACACTGGGCAGATATAATTATTTTGAGTGCCTTTCTTCTTCCTCTTATTGCTGCCTGTGTATAACCAAGATAAGCAAGTCCAGACTATTTAATCTTTAGCCTGTGGAGTCCTTTTGCTACAGTTTAATGCCTGATGGAAATCACCAGAGCTCTGATCCTCATGCAGTGTGTGTCAGGAGTCGAGCCACAGCACCTTACAGGAGAGGAGGATTTGGTTTAAAGCTCACTAAATAGTCACAAATAAAACAAACTAGATTCTTACAGACAGAAAACTAAAAGCATCTGCACCATAAAGAGTTGATTTTTGGCTCAGTTATGTTACTGGGTAGAAACAGATCTTAGATGATCCATGTTACCCCAGCTATTTGCTTTATTATAGAGTCTGGTTTAGTGGGAGCAAAGTTTTGCTAGCTGGATAACTTTAAAATGTGCATTTTACACTGTCTTCTCTTTTTACTTAAAAGTGGCAGCTTCATTTTGATGGCAATAATAGCCAGGGACTCACCCACAGAGCAATGATACCACATCTTTAGCTCATCACTGCTGAGCCCCCCGGGCTGCTCGATCTATGGCAGCCCAGTGATGCCAGGAGGAGGCTCTGCCCTGAGCTTCTGGCTCTTCCCTTGCCCTTCTCATCAGATTGCACTTATCAGGCTCTCTTTTGGTCGTCGAATCAGAATAATGAAGTACATATATGTATACACATAAAATCTGTGTGGCTATTTCAGCTCACTTCACACTCTCCGATATTCAGCAGCTACTGCATAACCTGTGCTACCCCTCACACCTTGGTTACTGCCCTGGGCAAACAGGATAAGTACCCTGCCTGGACAAGGTAACTGTTGAGACACTCTCCCAGTGACAGATTTTATTTTTCAGAGTTCCATTCCTTTGGCTCAAGCCCAAAATGAGTTAACCCACCAGGAACACCGAGCCGCCCTCGGCTTAAGACAAGTTGCAAACAAGATTGGTTACCCAAAAGTGCTTTTTTTTTATCCCCTTGTCATGATGAAACAAATGTACCACTGCTCTGGGCCTGCCTCCTTTGACAGAAGTGTATTTCTTCCAGTGAGATACAGGATATAGGAAATTTCAGGATAAAAGAGTTTTAAACACAGGATGAGATGTATGCCCATATGCTGTCGGACAGAATGGGAGAGATAATTTGGAAGAACATTCTGCTATGCCAGCTTCTACTGAGAGATATATTGTTTTTTTTCCTAGTGAATCACAAAATCTATTAAAAAAATGCCAGATTAATTTAAATATATTCGAAATGAAGAGTGGATTTTTCGTGTCCTGCCAGTTCCCCAAACTTGAGAGGCAGCACATCCAGTAGGATGTAAATTCTTGGAGTATATCCAGTATAAATGAGAAAAATCCTTCCCTTGTTTGCTGCTGAGGGAATTTGGTTTGTGCCACGTGTGCTGGGGTGTTTTCATGCAGTGCTACAAGCTGGCATTTCTTCAAGACAAAAGTGCACCTTGGGAAGAGCAACTCTTTGGGAAAGTGGGAAGGGAAAGGGATAGGAGAGCTCAAGGGCATTGCTGGTTAACACAACAACCTGCTCTTCAAGGGTCGTTGGCTGCACTGCATCTTCCTGAGCAGGGAAAGGCTAAATTGGGTGGCTCAGCCTTTCTTTTTCTGCCTAGCACTTCTATTCACATCAGCTGCATGCACAAATGGTGCTGGTGGCTTTGAAATGGTGAGAAATTTTTACACCAGATAGGCCAACAACAAATACTTCAGTAGAATTCTCAATGAAGAGCTGCTAAAGGTGCTTCCCATTCAAAAGAATTTAAAAAATAAATAAATTTGAAAACACTGTATGAAGTGTTATTTTTAAGGCAAGAGTCTTGTAGCTCCATGTCTTTGGAGA